GGAAGTAAATGAAACACTGATCCGACTACGTTTCCTGGAACATCTCGTAGTCCTTCCAGCGGGACGTTTCTCCAGCTCACAGAGCCAAGCTTGCCCGCGAGTGGTGCCGACGACAGCTGCCCGACTTCATTGGTGAAGAGGGATGGTCATCCTACTTTCCAGAACTTGACTCACTTGACCCCACGACTGGTCCCTGGTTAACAGAGGACCTGTCGAGTTTGCAGTCCCAGTTTGGAGTATTAGAATGCAAAGGCTGAAGAATGGCTGGAAAGAAATGGAGGAGGATACCTTCGTGCCACATGCGATCAAGTCGAGAGCAAACTTTGACTTCTATCCGCGCTCAAGGGGATATTCTTAAAGGAGACTGAAGCGTGTTGTAGCTACTAGTGTTGGCTAATGTGCATAGGGGTTCCATCGTCTTTCGCAGCTGAGAAGTTTGAAATATATTGCTATAAATCGGCACCAATAATTTTGGGACACCCGTAGATCAGCTCAGCATGGAACTTATTTTTAGGAGTTTCTCTATTTTCTTTGTTTTTCTTTGAAATTATTTTTTATGTTTGTTGTTACAGTACAAGTACGCTTGCTGTGCGGAACCATGGGCCATTTTACAAGCATCACTGGTGATTCAACGAAAGCCGCTCTATTATATAGTCAATTTGATAATTCCAACATCGATTATCACTATCGTCTCCATCACCGGATTCTTTACACCGGCATCGACAGACGACGACCGTACCGAAAAAATTAATTTGGGTCAGAAATTTTTCTGCTTCCTTTGATCGGAGCAAATGACACTCCCTTCTACTTTGCTTTGTTTTTTTTACTCTCAATAAATGGACCAGAGTGAGCCGATTGAATCGCAGAAATTTTGAAAAGACCAAAGTAAAGGTGATCTTCAAATCAGCAGAATGCCCGATTTTTATGAGTAGAATGCGGTAAGGAGTTCCTGTCTTGGTCACCACGAGCGGTGACCTGGTTTGCACTTCGAGGAAACTCATGCCCCTTTTTGCCTGACCCCTGCAGAAACATGGTCATCATGGTCATGTAAAACAAGGAAGCTGTTAAACACTAACCTTTCACAAAAATTCACTTTATTTTGGGAACCAACAACTCCGGATATGTACTAATCCCTGCTCCTCTCTTCAGGTATTACGACGCTGCTGGCGATGTCCATTCTTATGCTTATGGTTTCCGACCAAATGCCGACAACCAGTGAATTCGTCCCTCTGATAGGTATTTTTCAGAGATCTTCGACCTAAAATATTCGGATCTGGTAGGCAAACGATTGGCAGAATAGGTTGCCTGCTATGGAAATGATGTGATTGGTTGGCTGTTTTCATCAACCAATCACAGAACAGTCGTATTTTCGTAAACTATCCTCTCCAATTTGTACAAAAATTGTTTTTTTTTTTCGATCAGTTGTGACGTAAGTAATCGTCTTTTCCAGCATGGTTCTACCTATCCATCATAATTATCGTCAGTATTGGAACATTCCTCACCAGCGTCGTGCTCTCTGTTCAAAGTATGACTGTCAAAGAAGTGGTCATTTGTAGTAGATTTCCAATTCCTGGCACTTTTTTCAGGTCGAAGGCAGTACGGGCGGAATCCACCACTATACATTCGATATTATTTCTTTGTTGTCATTCCATCGTTCATATACGTCAGTGTACCACCAGCGTTGGAGAATTTGTGGTCCGAACTTGACGTAAGTTTACCAGAAGTTTTTCCAAAGCGTCACACCGGAAAAAATTGTTTTTTTCCGGGAAATATTGAATTGTGCTCGTATTTGACGAAACCAGCAATGAATTCGATCAGCAATAATTACTCTGTCTCCTTTCCACCACACTATGTTAGTCGAGCATACCACGCCCTACCTGAGAACTCCGCCCATTTGTCGATCTTTGAAGAGCTTGAATTATTTTCATTATGTAGATTGGTGATGCGCTTCAGAGTACATAATAGTGAATAATGTCAAAGATATTTTGAGTTTCTTTCTCGAGATTTGGCTAATTTCAGGATGATCCACTGAATGCATGGCGACGACGACGGCGATCACCTTCTCCTGGTATTCACAAAACTGAATCTCTATACAAAGAGCAAACACCGATATCTCCTCCTCCACTGGAGCGGTAGGTGGAACTTTTTAGAAACAGTTCAGCAAAGTTAGTTCAGTTGTCCTTTTTCTACTTACTTCGAGATTTCAAGAACTTACGGTCCCAAGGGCATGGTTGCGACTGGGAGCGATTACATGAAACTATCAGCTCTCATAACCGAGGGGGAATTCCTGTGGTACAAGCGCATATAAACATTCGCCACTGTATGTCACGGAAATGTACTCACACATCCACCGACAAGATGGGCTGCATTGCCATATGCGCGTTGTTGATTTCATAGAATTCGATTTCTATGCCTGATGTACATCTGGAATGAACTCCGTGAACGTTTTGTATTTTAACACTCCAACATTGACAAATAGCTTTTTAGCGGCCCGTTCGTTGACTGAACCCAAGAGAAAGTAGTCGCCCTCGCCTCCGGTGACGATCCCTTTTGGGAACTCAATCTTAGTCGCCCAGGCATATGTATGGCTTAGTAGGAAGGCTAATAAATAGGACTGCATAACACGGAACTTCGGCAGACCAAGTCAAACTTATATGTAGATATCCTGAGTGTAGGCGTTACTTCTAGCGACTACATTAACTCTACGGCTGGTTGTCGTTATAAAAGTACTGAAACCCGTGAGAAAGTGCAGTCCAAAATCAAACATTTTCTTTAACTTCAGGAATTCAACGCTGCGGATCCCTCGGCAAGGGCTGGATCGATTCAGTTCGATTCAAATGATCGATGTCTCCGTGCCACCATCGCCGGCGATTTCACGGATCTCACGAACACCGTCAACGGCACAATCACAAAAACTCACATTATGGGAGGGTACGATGAGTGCGTTAGCAGGTTGGTTTTGATTTTAATGAAGACAAAAGTGAAAATATTATAAATTCCATTTGGTTAACAACTGAGGGTTTTGTCTACAGTAACGGATTCCTCATAGGAACTCTGTAGATTAACGTATAGTACGGTTGCGTCTGTACATCTTGCTTTGTATCGGATGGCTTATAGGTTATGCAGCGTACTGAGTACCGTGCAAACCCTTCAATTTCTACTCCCAGAATTACTATTTCCATCATGTCTGGCTTTGCAGGAAACAACGTGCAGTTACGTCGTACATCAGCCGCATACTCTAAAGAAGTGGATGCAATGCGAAGGAAACGGCAATGCTCATTGGAGTGGGAGTTCCTTGCCACAGTACTCGATAGGTCTGGTGTTTATTTAATATCTCATTATTATCAAAAGCCAGTCATCCTACTTACTATAAAGCGCTTAGTCTGTCTGTCTGTCTGTCGTCTGTCTGTATGTCTGTCACGAAATTCCTTAGCTCCTTTAGATCTGCCTGAAGAGACCGGGTCAAGCGTGGGATGGGTGGGCCATATCCCGAGAAGTATAAACACACATCAGCTTGGCGGAGCCCCGCCCCGTGCATCGAAATGAGCTGTACTGAGGACCATGATTTCAAATTCAGTCATAAGACGCTTCAAAACTGGACTTTAAAGGTGGCTTGAGGTGTGCATTGGTAAGTTAGATCGAACTGGGGAGACCCACCCCCCATGGGCGGGGCGTTCTCCAAAAATGCAGTGCTTTATGAAAACATTTATAACTCGGTTCGGAAAAAGCCAACAGAGCAGGGAAAAGTTGATTTGGGAGAAGCATTG